GCTGAGCTCGGGCCGATCTGGGCTTTGAGGCTTGGCGAGCTGCAGGGAGCAGCAGATTTGGGCCCCGATTGGCGGCGGGGAGGTGGCCAAGAAGCCGCAGCTTGGGGCTGGCACCTCCCAAGCGCTGGGCAGCCCCTCCCTGGGCTTGGCCCCGCTCCCCCCACCCTTATCCCGGGATAAAAGGCCCCCGGGAGCAGCCTGGGCACGGCACAGCCGCTCCAGCCCGCAGACAGCAGCAGCTGCCCCTCAGCTCCAGCTCCGCCAGCACCGGAACCCCCAGAGCTGCAGCCATGGGTAAGGGACCCTCGCAGCCTCGCCTGCAGCCCCGGCCGGGCCCTGGGTCACAGCTCTGTCCCCATGGTGTCCTGTGCCCGAGTCACAGCTCTGTCCCCATCCCGGCCCCCGGCTCTGGGTCACAGCTCCGTCCCAGCTCTGGGGAGGGGTCCCCGAGGGTCTCGGCCGTCCCCAGCGGGGCTCGGCCCCGCGCTGTCCCCAGGGTCGCTGTCCCCGGGCTGGCAGTGCCGGCGCCACCCCGAGCGCTCGCCCTGGGTGCCCAGGGAGGGCTGGGCTGGCCCCGGGGATGGCCCCGGGGGTCCCTGGGCTGGGAGGGACCCTCTGGGCTGGGCTGGGGGCTCCCGGGCCCGGGCCGGCCTCACGGGGTCCCCTCTGCTCCCCCAGACAGGTGCAGAGCTCCGTGCTACGAGTACCCCTCGTGCCCCGAGGTGCTGAAAGGCGAGTGCGGGGCTGGGCTGGGCTGGGTGGGCTGGGGAGGATTTGTGGGTTTTGGGGTCCCTGAGCTCCCTGTCTGTGCTGAGCCCCTTTCCCATCGGGAGAACTCGAACTCCCGGGAGATTCCCCCGGGTTGATCCCGGCTCAGGAGCTCCCCAGGACAGCCCGGGAGGAGCCGCAGGAAATCGCAGCATCCCGAAATTCGTTCCGCTCCTTTCTCAGAGCTGTTCGCAGCTTTTCCCGTCCCTTTTTTTTTTTTTTTTTTTTTTGGGGGAGCTCCCGGGCTGGGTTCGAGCGCGGTTTTTGTGTCCCCAGCCCCGAGGGAGGAGGTCGCCTACGTGACCTGCACCTACAGGAACACGGGCATCGACCAGCCCGATTTCCTGGCCACCGTGGACCTCAACCCGCGCTCCTGCCACTACGGCCAGGTACGAGCCCCAAATCCCGGGGTTATTCCCACCCAGATCTCCCCAAATCCCGGGCTTGTTCCCAGCCCCTCTCCAGCGCTCCCCAAGCCCCGGGGCCGCTCCCGGCGGGCCAGGCCCGGCTCAGCTCGGCCCGGCTGAGCCCAGCTCGGCTCGGCCCGGCCCGGCTGACCCCCCCTGGCCGTGCCCAGGTCATCCACCGGCTGCCCATGCCCAACCTCAAGGACGAGCTGCACTGCGCGGGCTGGGGGGGCCCCGCCTGCGGCTGCTTCGACAGCGGCGCCGCGGCCCAAAGGACCAAGCTGGTGCTGCCCGGGCTCATCTCCTCCCGCATCTACGTGGTGGAGCTGGGAGCGCAGTGCCGGGCACCGCGAATCTGCAAGGTGGGCACCGGGACACCGGGGGGAACGGGGAGGAGAGAGAGGGATGGAGAGATGGAGAGAGGAAGGAAGCATTCATTCAAGGAAGAAAAAAGGATTAATTCAAGGAAGAATTCATTCCAGGAAGGAAGGATTGATTCAAGGAAGGATGAATTCAAGGCAGGAAGGATGAATTAAGAAAGGATGAATTCAAGGCGCGATGAGTTCAGGGAAGGGTTCTGTGGCCCCGGGAGAGGCGCCCAGCAGGCAGGGGCTGACATTGGCGCTGGTTTTTGCAGATGATCGAGCCCGTGGATGTGTTCTGGAAGTGCAACAAGGGCTACCTGGCTGTGAGCCACCCCCTGCCCAACGGGGACATCCTGATCGCCAACATGGGCGACCCGGCTGGCAACGGCAAAGGTCAATGTCCCTGCCGGAATTCCCATTCCTTCCTTCTCATTCCCCTGCCGGAATTCCCATTCCTTTCCATTTCCCCTTTCCAGAATTCCCATTAATTCCCCTTTTCTCCGCCCAGAATTCCCATTCCCTCACCCACGATCCCCATGAATTAATCCCCATTAATTACCCCCATTAACGAATCCCCACTCCCCCCATCCCCTGCCCGAACCCCCAGCCCGGCTTTGTCCCGCCGGGCTCGCCCCAGCCCGGATTTGTCACCGTCGCGTCCCTCGCGTGTCCCAGGTGGCTTCGTGGTGCTGGACGGGGCCACCTTGGAGCTGAAGGGCAACTGGGAGGGCGAGTGCGAGACTCCGGCGAGCGGCTACGACTTCTGGTACAAAGCTCGGCTCAACGTGCTGGTCAGCTCCTCCGGGCTGGTGCCCAAAGTGGCCGGGAGGGGCTTCAGCCCCGATGACTTCAACAAAGGTGGGGACACGCGGGTGGCACCGAGGGCAGCGCTGGGCGCGGGGCTGGGGGCGCGGAGCCCCCCGAGAGGGGATTTGTGCACCCCGAGAGGGGATTTGTGCACCCCGAGAGGCTTCTCCTCCCCAAATTCTGCATTTCTCTGTGTTCTTCCCAAACCCCGACATTTCCCATTTCCCTCTCCATTCCTCCCGGGACCCTTCGGGGAGGGCTCCGTGTCCCCGGGCGCCCCCGAGCCTTTCCCCCCGTGTCCCGCAGGGCTCTTCGGCCGCCGCCTGAACGTGTGGAACTTGTCGTGCCGCAGCCTCACGCAGTGCTTCGACCTGGGCGAGGATTCTCTGCCGCTCTCCGTGCGCTTCCTGCACGGCCCCGACGCCGCCGAGGGCTACGTGGGCTGTGCCCTGAGCGGGGCCATCTTCCGCTTCTACAAGCCCTGCGAGGCGAGTGCGAGCCACGGCAGCGGGCCCGGGCTGCCGGGAGAGCCGGGCGGCACGGGGGAGGAGGAGGAGGAGGAGGAGCGGGGACAGGGAGGGTCCAGATCCAGGGAGTGCGGGGAGCGGGATGGACCCGTTGGGTTCCGGATCGGGATCGCGCTGATCCCGTTGTGCCCGGGTCGGGATCGGGATCGGGATCGGGATGATCCCGTTGGTCCCGGCTCGGCCCGGCCCGGCCCGGGCCGCGCTGATCGCGCTCGCTGTCCCGGTGCAGAGAGACAACTGGGCCGTGGAGGAGGTGATCCGGATCCCGGCCAAGGACGTGTCGGGCTGGATCATGCCCAAGATGCCAGGTTCGTGTGCGCTGGGGGTGGCACCGCGGGTTCGGCACCGGGCACGGCCCCGTGGGCGACCCCAGAGCCCGCTGGGCCACCCCAAATCCTGACTGACCCCAAACCCCGCCTTCCCCTAAATCCTGACTGCCCTCAAACCGTGCCTTACCCCCAACCCCATCTCCCCCCATCCCGAGCCGCCCCCCCGGCCGTGCCCGTGGCCCTGAGCCCCCCCGGCTGTGCCCGCAGCCTTCATCGCCGACCTCGTCATCAGCCCGGACGATCGGTTCCTGTACGTGTGCAACTGGCTGCACGGGGACATCCGCCAGTACGAGCTGGGCAGGAACTGCAAGCCCCGGCTGGTGGGGCAGGTGAGGGGCAGCCCCTGGCCCGGGGGGCGAGCGGGGCCAGCGGGGCGAGCGGGGCCAGTGCCGGGGAACGCTCGTGTGCCCCCCGTGCCTTGCAGGTGTTCGTGGGGGGCAGCATCCTGCGAGGGGGCCCCGTGAGCGTCTGCAGGGACGAGGAGCTCAAGGGCCAGCCCGAGCCACTGGTGGTCAAGGTGAGCGGGGCTGGGGCGACTGGGAGGGACTGGGAGGGACTGGGGACCTGAGAGTGTGCTCACCTGAGTGTGTGCTCACCTGAGCCCGCGCTCACCTGCTCTGAGCTGTTCCCGACGTTTCTGCTCCCCACCTGTCCCTGCTGGGATCCAGTCCCAGTGCCCCCAGTCCGTGTCCCAGTGCCCCCAGCCCGTGTCCCAGTACCCCCAGTAAGCCCAGTCCCTGTCCCAGTGCCCCCAGTAAGCCCAGCCCGTGTCCCAGTGCCCCCAGTAAGTCCAGTCCGTGTGTCCCAGTGCAAGCGCGTGTTCGGCGGCCCCGCCGCGCTGCAGCTGAGCCTGGACGGGAAGCGGCTCTACGTGACCAACTCCTTCTACAGCACCTGGGACCGGCAGTTCTACCCCAGCCTGATCAAGTGAGAATTCCCGCCGGGAAAGGCTCCCCCGGGGCGGGCACGGGGCGGGCGAGGGGCCGGGACACCCCGGGGCTGTCCCGGAGCCGGCTCGGGGTTGAGCAGAGCCCGGGCTGAGCTCAGCCCGAAGGGGGTCCGGGCTGGGCGGGCACGGCCCGAGCGGGTCCGGGGGGGTTTGGGGGGGAAAAGAGACCCCGGAGCGTGTCCTGAGCCAAACCCGGGGCTAAAACCGGCCCCGAGCGTGTCCTGAGCCAAGCCTGGGGGAATTTGGGAGCCAAAACTGCCCCCGATCCCACCGTGCCCCTCCCATCCCCGGGACTTGCCCCATCCCGGCTGAAGTCGCCACCCCGGTGTCCCCCTTGCCCGCCCCGCTGTCCCTCCCCTGTGGCTGGCGCCGTCCGGAGCAGCTCCGGGCGGGCTCCGGGCCGGCTCCCGGGGCTCGCAGTCGCCACGAGCCGCCGCTGTGGCCGCGCAGGGAGGGCTCGGTGATGCTGCAGCTCGACGTGGACACGGACAAGGGCGGGCTGGCCGTGAACAAAAACTTCCTGGTGGATTTCGGCAAGGAGCCGCACGGGCCGTGCCTGGCGCACGACATTCGCTTCCCCGGCGGCGACTGCAAGTGCGAGCCGCTGGCCTAAGGGGGCGAGCCCGGCAGCGCCGCGGAGCCCGCCCGGAGCTGCGCTGGGCTCGGCCGAGGGCGCGGGGCGAGCTCGGGGGGCCCGGGGCGATGGGCGTGGGATGGGGGGCATGGAGGGACTGGGGGGCCCTGGGTGAGGGGACTGGGGGGCCCTGGGTGAGGGGACTGGGGGGCCCTGGGTGAGGGGATTGGGGGGCCCTGGGTGAGGGGATTGGGGGATGGCGGATTTGGGCTCTCTGGGTGATTCCGGGCTTTGGGTGGTTCCCATTTCTGGGTCCCCTGGGTGAATCCCGGATTTGGGGTCCTCCGGGTGCTGGGACTGGGGGGATTCTGGATTTGGGGTCCTCTGGGTGATTCCGGGCTTTGGGCGGTTCCCATTTTTGGGGTCTCCCGGGACACGGGTTTGGGATCCCCTGTGTGATTCCCGGATTTGGGGTCCCCTGAGTGATGAGTTTGGGGTCCCGTGGGGCGATTCCCATATTTGGGATCCTCTCAGGCCATTCCCGGGTTTGGGATCCCCTCGGGGTTTGGGGTTCCCGTTCCCGCTGGAATCTCGATCCCGCTCCGGGCAAAGCAGGGCCGGGACCCGCGGCTGTTCCTGGGATATCCCGGGACATTCCTGGGACATTCCTGGGACATTCCTGTCCCTGTCCCGGGTCACTCCTGTCCCTGTCCCGCTCTGCCCGGCTCTGCTTTCCCCACAATCAATAAAGTTTTTTCCCTGCATCACCCGCAGCCTCCCGAGCCTCATTCCAGGAAAAAAAAAAATCCCGGGAAAAACAAAAATCCCGGGAAAAACAAAAGTCTGGGGCGGTCCATGGGGTTGCAGGCATTGCTGGAACTTTTTGGGACAAATTCCCAGAAAATTCTCATTCTTCCCTGCTGGGTTTGCTTCCAGATTTACCCCTCTTTTATTCCCATTTTATTCCTCTTTTATTCCCATTTTATCCCTATTTTTCCTCATTTTATCCCTATTTTTCCTCATTTTATCCCTATTTTTCCTCATTTTATCCCTATTTATTTTATATTTTCCCCTAATTTATTCCTCTTTTATTCCCATTTTATCCCTCTTTTTCCTAATTTCCCCCCTATTTTTTTGGATTTTTTCCCTATTTAATTTATACTTTATCCCTAATTTATCCCTTTTTTTATGCCCATTTCATCCCTCTTTTTCTCCCTATTTTTCCTCAATTGCTCCCCCATTTTTCTCTATTTTATCCCTGTTTAATTTACATTTTATCCCAAATTTTAGCCCCACTTTATTCCTATTTTTAAATCGATTTTATTTATATTGTTCCCAAATTAATTCCAGAGAATTCCCGAGTTTAGAGTCAGATGTTGGAGGTGCAGTTCCCCCATTCCCAAATCCCCAGAGTCCCAGAAAATTCCCGAATAATTCCCAAATTTCCAGGATCAGAGCCAGATTTCGGAGGTGCCTTCCCCCATTCCCAGAAAATTCCCAAGGAATTCCCGATTTTCCCCGGAATTCTCACACCCAGATGTCCGAGGTGCAGTGCCCCATTCCTAAACCCCCAGATTCCCATAAAATTCCCATAAAATTCCTGAATTTCCACGATCAGACCCAGATGTCCGAGGTGCAGTCCCCCATTCCCAGACCCCCAGATTCCCAGGGAATTCCCATAAAATTCCCGAATTTCCAGGATCAGAC